AGATTATGGAAAAAGAAACAAGAATAAAAATCAAGGCTTAGAAGGAGGTGCTAAGCAGTATGTGGAAAATCTGATTTATACCATTTTTATAATTTATGTCAATTTTCATATCCGTCCTTATAGACATTAGCAGCGAGTTCCTTAAACCTAATCAGACAAATTTCCCATGGGAAGAAAATATTTCTTGCCATGTAAGACAAAATTTCCTTTTGCATCTTTCACCATGTCATAGAATACACACTGGTTTCACCAAACACTAAAGCAACAGTAGTTGTCTTATAACTTGTATTTTAAAGTTATTTATTTTTATAGAAAATATAAATGTGATATATATTAACCTTAGTGAAAGGTTTTTGAGCAAGGATTGGTACATTATTACTCATGGGCCAAATCCAATTCTCCATCTTTGCAGTGATTTATAGAGGCACAACTATGCCATTTGTGTACATATTGTCAGTGGCTGTTTTTGACTTATAATGGCAGAGTAAAGTATTACACCAGAGCCATATGGCTTTGCAATGCTAGAAATATATACTTCACCTAAAAGCCTTGTTGACCCATTCCTTAAAATAATAAATTTGTTATAAAGTTTTCCTACAGTCTACTTTTATCCAGAGATAAAAGTCTACAAATTTTAGATAGACACAATTTGGATGCTGCTCAAAAATACATTTTTCCCAAGAAGCAGTTATCAAATTATATATATCTGATAAATATTTGGAGGACAGAGTTCCCTAATGCTCTGTCCTTTGCTGTGCTTTCAGAATTCATAGGTTTACCTTCCAAAATTTTTTACTAATTATCTGTTTTTTAAAATCCATATTAATTTTATTTTCTCTGTGTCAGCATTCGTTAAATGCATGGTATAAAATTTAAAACTACACAAGAAAATTAAAAGCAAAGAGATCTTTTAACTTACACTCCTCTTCCCTGAGATGATCAATTTTAATTATTTGTTTTGAACCTTCCAAATCTTTTTTTTATATAACTGCAATTCAGTATGAATGTGTGAATTTACAAATAGGAAATGTCTCTTATTTTCTTTTATTTCTCTTTTGGAAAAATAATAGATTTTTTTTCCTGCAACCTGATTTTTATATATGTTTTTGTATATGTTTTATTTAAATTCCCATGCAATACATAGAATTTTCCTTTGTTATTTTTGCAGATGTATGATATTGTGACCTGGTCACCTGGGGTTGTTTCCTCATATGTGAAAACAAAGACTATAATCTTCTTAGGATTGTTGTGAAATTTAGGGAGTAAAAAAGCATAACTAGGATGTGGCTTTTACTGTATGTGTTAGCTTTTATTGCATCATCATCCTCACTCTCTAATCTTAAAATATGCTTTCATATTAGTAGTCCTACAGAATTTAACAACACATTTCTATTGAGAAAAGATGCATTTGTTTTTCTTTTTGGCTATCAGTATCTTTAGAGCGATATTCTCCAATATTGTGGCTACCAGAAATATGTGATATTGAGTATCTAATGTTGATTAGTCTGAGTTAAAATGTTTGAAGTGTGGTATATAAGAATTTGAAAATGTGGTTTTTAAAAGCTCACTAATAGGACCAGGGACTTAGCTCAGCAGCACAGCACTTGCCTGGCAAGTGTGAACTCCTAAGTTCAATTCCTGATACAAAAAAGAAAGAAAAGAAAAGAAAGGCTAACAGTTCTTAAAGATAACATATTGAAAGGCCTTCCTCTAAAATCTGGATGGCAGCCTTCCTTACGCTACAATTCTTGCATTGTGCATCAACCTAAAACCAGCGCCACATAGATAATGCCAAGGTCAGATACCAATTTAGTCAGGCTTTCTTGTCTCTTAGCTGAAGAAGTCCAGTGCTAATGAACCAAATCCCAAGGAAAAGCTTAGGCTGCCACCTGGAACATGACATGCTAGGTCCATCTTCTCAAACCAAAGTCTTTCACTTTTGCAATTTTGAAGCTGCAAAGGGTGGAGTCTACTGGTTCCTGTGATGTTCTCAGGCCATCTTTTCTATTGTCTCCTTGTGAATACTTGTCTTTTTCTTGCTAGTCTTTTCAGTGATACCAGCTTCTCCTCTCTTCCAACTTTGAACACTAAAACTTTACAGGAGCTTCTTTTCTGGCCACACTTTTAATCTTAGCATTGAACCACAGTTCAGTCCCAGCATCACACACTCTAGATCCAGCCACCTCTGAAAAAGCCCCACCTCTGACTACATGAGAACTGTTGTCTAAACACAAGCCAGATAACACTACATTAGAGAATAAATAGGACTTGTTTGTTTGCTGGCTTGCCCAATAGGCTCAACTACCATAAGTCAACAGCTGATTAAAAGTTTTCTCCTTAAGAAGAGGGCTTTCCTCTTTTATCTCAATCTCCCTTTTTTAATTGTTTACTTTTTTCTTTTTTTTAATCGAGGGAAAAATAAATAAAAAATAGGATATGTTATAGTAACCTACTTTGATTTCCTATTAACTTGATTTGAAATCCTGTATTGCCCTCACCATCGTGTTTCGACTGATTTTCCTCTATTCTGCTTTGCTTGATAGTACCAAGATCGAAAGTATAGGCATACCTGTGAAGACAATAAGAATCATTATGACGCCCATTCCGATTGACTATTATTTTCTTTTAAAATCCTGTAATGTCTCCAATACTTTGGTTTTATTCTTTCCTGTTTAGTTCAATTTTATTATAACTGCCAATTCTTAAAATAGCAAGACGCAGTATAGTAACCATTGTTGATCACCTTATATTTTGTTTTTACATTATCTATTATGTCTATCCTTTTGATTTGACTGACTCTGTTCTGATATGTTGCATTTGGTTTTACTCTCTTCAAAAAAAGCAATAAGAACTGTGGGAGAAATAAAACTCAAAATGTGTAATTGTCATTCTACAAAAAAAAAAGAAAAGAAAATACTCTAAAGGTTATAACTGCATATATGTTTAAGTGTATAAGATAGATAACCATATTACTGAGTGTTTTTTGGATCATTGAACAAAACTGTTTGCACTCTCACTGTTTGAAAGTCCACTTTATGTGCTTCAATTTTGTAACTTGAACAACTATTTCTAAGATGAGAATATGTAATCTATTAACTAGTGATTTCTTACTGTTTATTTTTTAAGTTTTATATTACTTGTACCCTTTTTCTGTTTTTTTTCCTTTTTCTCCTTAAATAAATAAAAAAAGAAGAGGGCATTATATTTTTCTGTACCATTGGGAAGTAAAGTCATCACTTTTCACATAGCCTTTTTTTCCTCTAATAGCTACCCCTCTTCAATTTATTTCATCTTCAAATGCTGCTTCCATTCTCCAAGCCTCCCACACTATTAAAGTTGTGTGTGGGCCAGGGATTTAGCTCAGTGGCATAAGCAGCTGCCTGGCAAGTGAGAGATCATAAGTTCGATCCCCAGTACCCCCCCAAAAAAAGTTGTTTGGAAATAACCACGTTCCATTGATTATGCACTATATTTTTTCTCAAAATTAACAAGATTTATACCTACCTAATATACAGAAGCTTCTGAATATCATTAATAAAATGGTAAAATAACATTAATTGTCCATCAGAATGTATTTCCTCTATATTCCACATTTATTATTTTTCTCATATTATTACTTTTTGGATCAAATGAATGTAATTCATTAATTTACAAAAACTTTTTAAGTAAACAGAAGTATTCACTTATTTTAATTTCTATAATCTTCATTCATTTTTAGCAAACATTTCTTAAGTACTGTAATTGTGTCTTACGTATTGGCTAGCAGTTGACTGTCTCAAGAAGATTTCTTCCCTAAGAATACTGAAGAGAAAAATGAGGTAGAGAGGTATGAGAATTCAAAAAAACTATTACAGGTAGAGGAGCAGTGTGATATTATCACAGAAGGAAGGAGCAACCGATTTTATATGTTCAGTTATCAAACTTTGAGTCAGGAAGGAAATGTGATGAAGATGGAAGGAGCATTTGTAGAAGCAGAAGATACAGCGCAATTTTAGGAAGGCTAAAATGTGAATCTGAGAAAAATTGAAGTAGAGATTGCTTCATAGAAAGATTGACTAAGGTGTGGTACTAAAGTGATAAAATATTAAAGATTATGTTCACAGTGTTTGCAGTACAGCATGGAAGAGGGTCGTGGTAGATGAAAAGATACTCAAATCACTGTGGCCAGGAAGCGAAGAGAGGAGGAAGGAACCACGGAGAGAGGCATATACCCTTCCAGGTCCCACAGCCAGTGATCTGCCTCATACCAGGTCCTACCTCCTAACAGCAAGTCAGCTATAAACTCATCTGTGTTCTAATCCACTGATGAATATAGTACCCTCATGATCCAGTCACTTTCAAAACACAGGATGTTTTGAGAGGAACACCTCACAGTACTTTACAGTTATTAAATTGCCGTGTATACTTGGTAGATTTGCTTCTCCATTTTCCTGTTATACTGAGCTCTTTTTGCTTGAGGCAAGGCCTTACATTGTTTTTGAGAAACAAAACACTATAGTGCAAAACTAGGTATGAATATATTTTGGGTACTCTCATGGCTTGTGTGTAGATGTCCCCCAAAAACTTCATGCAGTCATAGGTGAGGCTTTTTCACATAGCTAGTCTAGAGTGTGTGATGCAGGGATTGATTCATGGTGCAATGCTAAAATCAGTGACACTAGGATTAAGGATATGAGTGCTACCTTCTCTAAGAACGGGTGGCCTGGATAAGATACAAGGGACAGAAAGAGCTGTGGTCATCCCTTGTTGCTTTGCTACTCTCTGCCAGCCATGGACTATTTCTCCCTTGTGAAGCCATCGTGCCTTGAAGCCAGCCAATGAGGGACTGAAACCACTGCAAACTGTAAGCTAAATAAACCATTCCTTCCGTAAATTTTGACTGTTGGGTATTTTGTCTCAACAAAGAGAAAAGTGACTAAGAGAGGTACCATAGCAGAAATGGTAAGAATGAGCCCTTCAAACTGAACAGGAATGTACTCTTACAGAATGTACTCTTACAGGTTGGTGTCATTCAAGGATATGGCTGTGGATTTTACTCAGGAAGAGTGGCAGCAATTGGACCCTGTTCAGAGGACCTTGTACAGGGATGTAATGCTGGAGATATATAGTCACATGGTCTCAATGGGTAAGGCTACTTTGCCCACATCGCTTATGAGTTCTACAGTCAAGTGCTTTTCTTTATCAGTTACTGTATTGAAGTTGTTTAGACATACATAATTATTTTTATGATCTTGATACCTCCCCAAATGGGGAACATTATTTTGTTAAAGGCTAACTGGAAAATTTCATAGTAAATCATCTTCTTTTCTCCCTCCCATATAGTTAATCCAGTTTCTTCATGATTTCCAATTAATAGGGTATCCTGTTTCCAAACCAGATGTCATTTCCAAATTGGAACAAGGAGAAGATCCATGGATCATAGACACAGGCATGCCAAACTGGATCTACCCAGGTGCAGATCACGCAGGTAAAAGACAAAGAAAGTGAAATATCTGTTTGATTGATTTTTGATTGGTATCTAAAGCTTAATGTTTATCCTTATTTAAATCTCCTATTCTTTATTCTTATGCTGAGAATTTAATAGGCCTTTAAGAAATATTCTTTTTAGACATTGAGTAAGCAATCAAGAATTAATTAAGGTAATTATGATCCTTTAAGTGGAGAACTATTTCTGATTCATTTACTGAATAGGTAGATAGATGGATAGATAGTAAGTTTTTCTATGGTATGAAAGGGCTTTAAAGGTAATAGAAGACAAAATCCTTCCAAGAATATGGGTTGTACTTTAGAGGGTAAAATTTCCTGATACATAATGTACACAATTAAATGTTAAATAACTATTTTAAAACTTGAAATAAATTTGGAATTTAAACAGATACAGCAAAATTTGAGAATGTGTTTTTCAGAACATGCAGATGTAGCTCCTTTATATTACATAAGTTCTGGTGATGCTGCAGAAGATAATGGAAGGCTAGAATGGTTTGGAAAAGAAAGTATATGAAAAACATTGATATTAGGAAGTTACAACTTTTCTGTGTTTAGGTAGTTTTACTTGATACACATATAAAGTATTGTCATGAATAGTGACATTTAGGTGGGCATCCTTGGTGTGAATCTGATATTGAATCTTTAGAAGTATCTTGAGTTTCTTTTGTTATACTTGTTAGGAAAATAGAAGAGTGTTAAAAGTATTTTGAGTACAGAGGATATCTTGTTTTTTGGAGTGGTAGCAAATGGTTTGTATGTATAGCAAATGGTTTCTGAGACAAAGGAATTCAGACAATGTAAAGAGTCTTTTTTACTAAGAAAGCAATAAAAATGGGAAGATTCTAAAAGCATAATTTACGATTAAAGTAATAATGACCTGGACACTTTTCCATCTCGTTTAAGTCTAAATTTTATACAGATAACTTCTCTTTAACATGATCACATATTCTACCGGTCATATTTTAGGATGTACTGTCTTCCAAGGTACAGTCTTTGAGTTCATATACATGATGGACCAGCCATTCTTCCTCTTTTAGTACTCTTAATTGTCCTTTAGGCCTTTTTTATTTTACCTCCCCTTCTTTTAGGAAGGAAAAATAACCTTCATAACTCACAGTCATGTATTTTGGGAACTGTTTCATTCCATAATAAAATACTGAAAGGAGTGGCACCCATTATAAAAATCTACCATAATGATGGACAGCTGCAGACATGTCAGGAAAATCAAGACAAACTTTTCAAGCCATTTACATTTACCAGTAGCAAAGCAGTATTTGATGCTCCAGTGGTACAATTGATTAGCGTGTGGTACTTATACAGCAAAGCAGTGTTGTTCGCATGTGCCAGAAACGAGATGCCACTGAGGAGACTGAGGCATCCAGGGATAGAAAATTGAAAATAAAGAGAGCATGTGAAAGAACATTTCTAGGAGACCCTCTGGTTGGGTACCAGGTTTCTCCTTTTATTTTATCTATAGTAAATTTGAGGGAGTGATGTGCGCGTTCAACAATACCTTGTCCTTGAGGATTGTAAGATATACCCGTGGTGTGTATAATACCAAGACACTTGCAAAATCGGGCGAAGGAGGAACTAGTATACCCTGGGCCATTGTCGGTTTTGAGCTGTTGGGGGCATCCCAGAACTGAGAGGGCTGATAGCATATGAGCTATAATATGTTTGGTAGCCCCTCCAGTCTGGGATGTGGCAAAGATGAAGCCACTATAGGTATCAATGACCACATGTATATATTTTAAGTTGCCAAATTCATTAAAAAGAGTGACATCTGTCTGCCACAAGGCTCTGGGGATTAGGCTTCTTGGGTTAGCTCCTAGGTGTTGAACAGGCAAATGAACAGCACAAGAGGGGCAATTTTTACAATTTGTCTGGCTTGTTCTTGGGTAATTTTGTGGAGGAGGCAAAGGGTTTGGGCATTGAGATGGTGCAACCGATGAGTCCGTTGGGCCTCGGATGTCTTAGTGTCTTCTGTGGGCTCCGAATGGATCACGAAGACCTGTGCTCATGTGGTGATATCAGCCAAATGATTTCCCTGAGCAAGGGGACCCGGGAGGCCAGAATGAGCTCGCAAATGGCCAATGAAAAACTTACGACTGTGAAGCTGAATCATGTCTTGCAATTGCTTGAATAGGTTTGCAGCTGGGGAGACATGATTTATGGTGGCAACAGTCTCTAATAATGGAACAGATTGAGCAAGGTAGGCACTATCAGTAAACAAATTGAAGGGTTGGTCAGGATAAGCAGTAAAAACTGCAAGAATAGCCTGTAGTTCTGCCAGCTGTGTGGATGATGTATCTGTCTGTAGGGTAAAAATACTATTTTGTGCTACATAAGCAGCCCTGCCAGAAGAAGAACCATCAGTGAGTAACACTGGGGCATGGGGAAGAGGTTGTAAGGCTGTAACCTTGGGGAATACGAATGGGTGGCAGTTGGCAAAATCAGTCAACTTGTTTGGGGGGTGATGATTGTCAATGGTCCCTGAGAAGGGGGCTATAGCAATAGGCCATGCCTCAGTGGTCTGGAGTAGCCAGTCCACTTGATCTTTGGTGAAGGGTTGAATGATAACATCTGGTTCTTTTCCAAAATAACATTTTCCTAACTTTCTGCCTTGAATTATCAGGTCAGAGACTCCTTGGTAGTAAGGCAGTAATATTCTCTTTGGGGAGACTGGCAGATGAAGCCACATAAGAGGAGCTTGCTGCCAGAAAACTGCTGTGGGAGAGAGTTTTGTGTTAAAAATGAGATATTGTAGTGGCTTATTATAATCTATGAAGGAGACGGTTTGTTGAGCAATAGCCTTTTCTACTGTATGGAGTGTTTTTCTAGCATTGGGTGTGAGCTCTCCGGGAGAAGTTGGGTCAACGTCTCCTCAGAGGATCTCATAAAGGGGTTGGAGATCATATTTGGTGAATTTCCAATAGGGTAAAAGCCAATTAATATCACCTAGAAGCTTTTGAAAATCATTAAGTGTCTTAAGGTTATCAAGTCTTAGTCGGGGCTTTGGTGAATATATTTGAGTTCCCTGTAGTTGGAAACCCAAATATATGTATGGGTCTGTAAGCTGGACTTTATCTGGCGCTATTTGGAGTCCAGGCTCTTGTAAGGTGATCTGCAGCACCTGATAGCACTGTAAGGTCTGGGGTTTATTTTTCCCTACCAAGAGGATATCATCCATATAATGAAGGATGTATGTATTTGGCCAATGATCTCTAACTGGCTGTATGACAGTGGCCATGAAAGCCTGACATAAAGTAGGAGAGTTGGCCATTCCTTGAGGGAGAACATGCCATTGAAATGTCTGCATAGGAGCCTGAAAATTAGTGGATGGGAGACTAAAGGCAAAACATTTTTGTTCTTGTGGATGTAGGGGAATTGAGAAGAAACAGTGTTTGAGATCTATGACAATTTTGAAAAATCCTAGGGGGATGGCACTGGGCGAAGGGAGTCCTGGCTGTAATGGTCCCATTATAACCATGGTTTCGTTTATCGCTCTGAGGTCCTGTAACAACCTCCGCTTGCCTGACTTCTTTTTAATTACAAAAATGGGTGTATTCCAGGGGGAATCACTTGGTATAATGTGGCCTGCATTTAGCTGGTCCTCAACAAGCTGTCGGGCAACTGCAAGCTTTTCAGATGTAAGTGGCCACTGATGGACCCAAACAGGGGCATCTGATAACCACGTAATTTCTTTGGCATGGGTCGCAGGAATGTCAATGACCCCTATTGAAAATGGCCTAAGCCTGCTCTTGAAGAGTTTGGGGTTGGGGAAATAGGGACTTTAATACCTGAACTCTGTTTACCTAGGCCTTGATTAGGAAGGAATCCCTGAGTGAGCATTTGTTTGGTGAATATGGTGTTAGGGCTGCCCATCATCATCCCCATTTGGGTTGGTAAATCTCTGCCCACAAGTTAAGTAGCCCTTCCACAATATAGGGCTGTATGTGTCCTTGATTGTTTTCTTTATCTTTCCAGGTAAGTAGATTGGCACCACACTGTGGGTTTTTAGACTGTCCAATCCCTTGTAGATGAGTTATAGTGGTCTCTAAGGGCCATGTGGGAGGCCAGTCCTCTTTTCTAATGATAGTCACATCAGCACCTGTATCTATGGGCCCTGAGAAACTTTTCCCATTGAGCAAGAAAGCCATAAGGGGTTTATCTTTGGAAATGAATTGAGCCCAATATAGATCTGAAGACTCAAGAGAAGAATTTCCTCTATAGGAAGCCACAGCTGCATTAGGAGTTTGAACTAAAGGCAATAGCACCAATTGAGCAATATGTTGACTAATGGAAACCAGACCATTGATAGAGGATGCCATAACAGTAATTTCACCAGTATAGTCATTATCTATGATTCCTGGGACAACTTGTAATCCTTTTAATATTGTGCTGCTGCATCAAAGGACTAACCCACAGGTTTCCTTGGGAAGGGGGCTGAAAAACCCAGTAGGGATGGCTTATATACCCATGTCAGGAGCTAATACTGTGTTGGAGGCAGATCAGAGGTCCAGTCCTGTGCTTCCTGGTGTGGGGCGGAGGAGGTCTGAAATGGATTGTTTTGTGTTGGATTGCTTTGTTGCTGGGGGACAAGTCATTTTTTTCCTTGCTATCATCAATTTGTATTTCTGACCTCTGCAGACATGGTGGCTATCTCTCCTTAGTTGTTGTAGTAGCCCGTATTTTGTCCCTCCTGCTTTCCTGACTTGGGGATTGATCCTCACGTCTAGTTCATCATTTTTGTCTCCCTCTTTCTCTAATTGTCTTGTTCTTGCCATCTTGTGGACCAATGCCATCTTGCATGGGTCGAGTTGTCTCTCCACCATCTCGTGGGCTGACACCCTCTGTGGCAGTTTGGGCAATTTCTGTTACTGGAAACATTAAATGACATGCCATTCTTTTTTTTTAAATTTTATTTAAGGAGAAAAAAAAGCATAGGAAGGATACAAGTTATACAGATTTACAGAAAAA